CTGCACGGGGATAGGAGGGAGAAACGGACGCAGGGAGGGAGGGGAGGAGGGAGGAAGGAGCCTCCACCCTCTCTCCTGCTTCCCTCCTCCTCCCTCCTTCTCCTCCCTCCCTCCGCCCTTCCTCCTCCTCCTCCTCCTCTCCTCCTCCTCCTCGTCCTCCTCTCGTCCCTCCTCCCTCCTCCTCTCCGCCTCCTCCTCCTCCTCCTCCTCCTCCTCCTCCGTCCTCCTCCCTCCTCCCTCCGTCCTGCTCATGCCGCCATCGTCCATGCTACGCCACTTCCCCCTCGTCCTCCTCGTCCTCCTCGTCCTCCTCGTCCTCCTCCTCCTCCTCCTCCTCCTCCACCGAGTATGGAGGAGGAGGAGGAGGAGGAGGAGGAGGAGGAGGAGGAGGAGGAGGAGGAGGAGGAGGAATTAAGGTACCCTCAGGAGGAGGAGGAGGAGGAGGAGGAGGAGGAGGGACGTACGTAGGATGGACGATGGCGGCGTGAGGATGGCGGAGGCGAAAGAGCAGAGGGAGGAGACTGCGCGACGAGGAATTCTGTTTGGGCCGTCCCCGAGCCACTCATGGCTCCCAGCCTGGGCATCGGTGCGCTTCGATGGGGGACGCCTGCGGGGAGCTCAACCGTCCGTCCTTTGCTGACGCACGGGCCGCCCTTCTCCGCGCCCTCCGTCTCTCCCGCCCTCCTTCCCGTTTTCCTCCACCCCTCCTTCCTCCCTCGCCTCTCCTCATCCCTCCCTCCTCCGCCTCCCTCGTTTTCCTCCCTTCCTCCTCCTGCCACCTTTCCCTCCCTTCCTCCCTCCATCCTCCCTCCCCCCCTCCCTCCCTCCCTCCTCCCTCATGCTCTTCTCCTCGTTCCTGGGAGAGCGTTGCTCCCGCCCTCCTCCCTTTTCCTCCTTCCCTCCCCATCCATCATCTCCTCTCTTCCGGGAAGGGTATGGGAGGGGGCCAAGGAAGGAGCACCCGTTCCGCCGAACAGGTGGGATGCACGGCCTTCCTCCCCTCCACCCTTCCCGCAACCCCGAGTTCCTCCAAACTCGTTCCTCCTCCCTGCCCTTCCCGCTCCGCCTTCCGAGCTCCGCCCGCCCCGCCTACACCATGTCGAGGGGAAGGGGGGACTGGAGGGACGGGCGCGCTGGCTCCTGCTGGAGCTCGAGGTCGACCCTTGGACCTTTCTTGGGGCGCGCTCCTGTGAGCATCGTTGAACCGACTCCTACCCCCATGGGCGTGGCCTGGGCCCCACTGGCCGATTTGCCCCCCTAAATGGGGAGATTGGCTGTTCCCGTTCCCTTTGGGATTCGAAGGGTATATCCCCAACGGGGGGTGCTGAGATGGTCGGGCTCTGGGTAGGGAGTGGATAAGGGGATAGGGGTAAGTCAAAACACCCTCCTAGATAGCAAACCGTCTAGATCATTTTCACCCGCCTTCCCAACACATGAATCACGTCCGGCCCTCAGCATGTTCAGCGGTCGCCTCTGGATGGACAGCTACTGGGACCCTGACCCCATGTGCGCGACGCTGGGACGAGGTGCGCCACGCATGGCAGGCGCGCCACGGGCGCCAATGCACGCCTGGTGCGCCAAATGCGCAACTTACGTGCCCCACGTGCGCCAAGTGTGCCGCATACTCCAACCGCGCCATGTACACCATGTTCGGGGCAACGGCAAAGTGTGTCAGGCGCGCCTGCGCACGTGACAGCACACATGGGGGATCATGTCGCCCCCCCACCATCAGTGTCGAAAACCACAGCCCATCATGGCTGTTGGTTGGCATGCACACAACAGGCCATGCGCCTCCACCCTTGCCGTCCCCGTCAAAAACCAGTTGACCGTGATCGCGGGGTGGTCGCGCGCGATCCAGTTTATTGTTGTTATTCGCACTCTTATTTTTATGAAAAAGAGGGCGGCCTTGCGCACAGCAAGCAATATGTTAACACCCCTGCCGCTCCTGTCGAAAAAACTCCAGACGGTAGGACCCCGCACGAGCATCTACTTAAAATGCTCTTCGCTTTTTCCTCGTCGCCCTGGCCGAAGCCCCCCGTCTCGCCCTCTGTTGCGCCTCCTCCTCATTTTATGTGCCTCCCTCGTCCTCCATATCCCCCGCATGCTCGCCATCCTTGCTGAATTTTATCCTCTTCCTATTCGTCAGGTTCCCCCTGCTCCTCCACTTCTTCCTTCTCCACCCCTCATCACCATCCCGCTTGGTTTCCTCATGGTCCCCGCCTTCCTCATGGCAGGGGGCGCATGCCGATGTTCCTCGGCGCCCTCGCCGCCGCGCTCGGCAGGGGCGCGCTCTCCGATGGCAAAATCGCGAACCCGTCGGGGCAACGGCCGTTGGGACAACACCGCGAGCCGCTGGGTCACGAGAGCAAGCCGTTGGGACAACCCCGCAAGCGCCGAGTAACTCGCGACCGCGCTCAGGCGGAATGCCGCACGAAGTTCAGCTTTGCCGCGAGCTGTTCCGCCCCAGCCTTGGAGCCCACATTCACCCCACAGGAACCTAACAGCGACGACTACTACAATACTCCGATGGCCTGATCGGACTCCCAACGTGGAATGCGGACCCCATAGGGAAGGGGTTATCGCCGGAGACTTCCTCGCTAATCACTCACAGACGAGGCTCCCGCCTGAGACATCCTCCATGCTAGATCAAAACCACAAAAATGCAAAGACAATTACAATAATCCGATGGCCCGATCGGATTACCAACGTGAATTGCGGACCCCATAGGGAGGAGGCTCCCGCCTGAGACCCCCTCGCAACTTAATCACAAACGTCCTCCAGATTCAAGCCCGAGGAGCCGACAAGTGACGACAATTAGGAAGTTCCGATGGCCCGTTCGGGTTGCCAACATGGGGGGCGGACCCCGAAGACAGGGGGCTCCCGCCTGAGACTTCCTCGCAACGCACTCACAAACGAAACACCCGCCTGAGACCTCCTCCATATCTAATGCAAAGGAACCGAACAGTGACGACTACGGGAGGGGGTTTTCGCCTGAGCCTTCCCTGCAATTCACTCACAAACGAAGCTCCCGCGTGAGACATCTTCCATACTAAGTCCAGAAGGGCTGAAGAATGACGACAGATCCAAGATCCCGATGACTCGCATGGATTACCGAATTACATAAAATGCGGAACCCCTGGGGAGGGGGTTTTCGCCTGAACCATCCCTGCAATTCACTCACTGACGAAGCTCCCGCTTTAGACTTCCTCCATCTCCAATCCAGAGGAAACGAAAAGCAACGACAACTACAAATCCCGATGGCCCGCTCGGACTACCAACATTGAAAGCGGACCCCATGGGGAGGGGGCTCCCGCCTGAGACTTCCTCGCAATTCAATCACAGACGCGGCTCCCGCTTGAAACTTCCTCCATATTCAGTCCAGTGGAGCCGAAAAGTGACGACTGTTACAGGATCCCGATGACCCGCTCGGACTACCAACATGAACTGCGGACCCCATACGTCCCAAGGACGAAAGTTTTTCCTCTTGGGCCCGGAGCGACGGTGTGAAGTCTTGAGCAGACCCGTGTGAGATAACCGCCGTCGGATCTACTGAAGCTCGCGGGGATCCAAATGCGGCTTTGGTGTTTGTTTCGGTGGGTCCGATTTCCGTCCGTACGGATCCGATTTCGGATTCGCTGGATCCGTGTCCGGTCTATTTTTTACGGCGGATCCGATTCCTACCCTGTTTGAAATTTATTACTAAATTAAACCAGGGGACCGGAAGAAATCGGATCCGCGGACCCCGCAAACTGCCCGTGTTAAGATTGTATTGGGGAAGGGGGGTTCGGCAATCAACTTTCCACGATGGGCCCTGCGTCGTCTCGCGCACTCCCATCAACTCCCCACGCGAGCGGGCCCCAGTCAACATGAATACATACATCCCTCCTCCCCCGGTTGCTGCAAACAGCTCGTCCGGTCGCCGTCCGTTCGGCGGCGCCGACGTTGTCTCGCGAACTCCTCATGGCCATTTTCACCTCAACTGGAAAATCTCTCGTCCTGCGTAAGGTGCGTTTCGGTCCTGCGTCTCCTCACCCAACGGATTGCCTGTGAGATGTGGTGTCGGCTGTGCGGTAACCAACAACGGATTGCGTGTGAGATGTGGTGTGTCGTCTATGTGGTAACCAACGAATCCGAAGGCCCAAACGCTCAGTGCGTTTCGGCCCTGCGTCTCCTCACCCAACGGACTGCCTGTGAGATGTGGTGTCGGCTGTGCGGTAACCAACAACGGATTGCGTGTGAGATGTTGTGTGTCGGCTATGTGGTAGCCAACGAATCCGAAGGCCGAAACGCCCAGTGCGTTTCGGCCCTGCGTCTCCTCACGCAACGGACTGCCTGTGAGATGTAATGTCAGCTGTGCGGTAACCAACAACGGATTGCGTGTGAGATGTGGTGTGTCGGCTATGTGGTAACCAACGAATCCGAAGGCCAAAACGCTCAGTGCGTTTCGGCCCTGTGTCTTCTCACCCAACGGACTGCCTGTGAGATGTGGTGTCGGCTTTGCGGTAACCAACAACGGATTGCGTGTGAGATGTGGTGTGTTGGCTATGTGGTAACCAACGAATCCGAAGGCCAAAACGCTCAGTGCGTTTCGGCCCTGTGTCTCCTCACCCAACGGACTGTCTGTGAGATGTGGTGTCGGCTGTGCGGTAACCAACAACGGATTGCGTGTGAGATGTGGTGTGTGTGAGATGTGGTGTGTCGGCTATGTGGTAACCAACGAATCCGAAGGCCAAAACGCTCTCATCCCCAGGACGAAAGTTTTTTCCCCCTTGGCCCGGAACGACAATGTGAAGTCTTGAGCAGACCCGTGTGAGATAACCGCCGTCGGATCTCATGAAACTCGCGTGGATCCAATTCGGTTTTGGTGTTTGTTTCGGTGGATCCGATTTCCGTCCGTACGGATCCGATTTCGGATTCGCTGGATCCGTGTCCGGTCTTATTTTTTCACTGCGGATACGAATTCGACCTGTGTAAAAATTGGATTATTAAATTAAACTACG